AGTCTGCCGCCGCCTACGGCGGACTGTTAGCTGGTGAAGGGAAAAAACTAATCGCTAATCACTTAGAAGCATTTTAGGTATAAAACACTATAGTATTTTACTAGGCAAAATATACTATAACACATTTGTACAATGTTTTTTAAAGATCTAAGGAGTAAAGAGTTGTTTTACGTAACTATATTGCAACTGCCCTTTATAGCAACTGCCTTTACTACAGCGTTGTACAATAATTGTAGATACTTACTGCCACTACTACTCTTCTACATCTACTACTACTACAGCAGTAGCAGTAACAACAACAGTAATAATAGCAATAATAGCAGCAATAGCAACAGCAGCAGCAGCAGCAACAACAATAATAATAATAATAATATAGGCATTAAGCCTACAGTATTTTAATTACTTTTATTATATAAAGCTAACACTTAAAATAAGGCTTTTATTTTCTATAATGCTGCTGTTGCTGCTGCTAACTAAGCTAGCGCTAATGTTAATCTTATTCTACATATAAGACAGCAGTAGCTAGCCCTACTAGCTTATAGTCCACAGGCCTGTGCATTGCTAGCTCTTCTAAGGCAGGATGTAGAGTTTATATATAGTAGTATATCCCCTTATTAAATAGCTTTGCATAGGCCTTTATATATTAACGCTATTCTTATACAATCTTGTAGAAAGGCAGTGGACAACCTGTGCAGCGCATGCTATGGCGCTGTCTCGGGCCCACAACCGTTCCTAGAGTGCTGCTGCGCTAAGGGGCACTTTAGTAGAGCATGTAGCAATTATAAATAGCGTAACTATGCTAGTTACTACTTTATAAAAGAAAGAGGTAATAATAAGCTAGCTAGTAGACTTTTATATTTAGGCTACAACCTAGAGATTAGTAGTGCTAGTAATAGTTTATAGTAGCAGCTTATTTTTATTAAAAATAAACTTGCTAAAGCTTTAGCTAATAATGTAATAGTTCTAGCTTAAAGTATATATAATATTTCTTTTAAAAGTAGTAAAGCGCTTTAGCTATAAAGGTTGTCTATAGCACCTAGCTATGTAGAGATGTCTGTAGCACTTAGTTAAGGCCTGTACCTCTGCGCAGTAACTAAGATAAGTAGCTGTTAAACAGTAAAACTAAACTAAGCTAGTAAATAAAAAAAATAAATTAAATTATTATATAAAACATACTACTTCTTAATACTGTAAAGCTAATAAGGCACTTAAGAATTAACATTAGATAGCTAAGATAGTGCTTACTTATAATTATATAAAAGCATTTCTTTATTTTTTTTATTTTTAATAAAGCTTAATTTCTACTTAACTTTTTTCTTTTTTACTAGCTTTTTCTCCTTCTTAACTTTAGTCTACTTAGTAGGGGGTTTATATAAAAAGATCTTATTCTAAGCTACTATAGTTGCCTTATATACTAGGTATAAAGTTATGCTTTAGTTACCTTTTTTAAAGTATTTACTTTTTAGTAAGTTCTTAATTATATAATAATCTTTAGCACTTTTTAAAAGATATGTAACATAATCTTTACTAACATTTATAATAAAATATAGTTTAGAATAGCCTTTAGTAATTAAAGAATTAAATTATATAAGCTTTTTAAGAAGGCTATTCTTAATAAACTTAGTATAGCTTATAAAAGGCGCGTTTTAAAGCTATATCTAGGTCTAATTTACTATGTATTAGATATTAGCTAATATATAAGAGGGTATTATACATAGCTGTTTAATACTATTAATTTGCTTACACTTATTAATTACCTTATATTATACAAAGTAAAGGATTATAAGAATAGAGAGCTTAGCTATTATATAGCCTTAAATAAGAAGCAAAGATGTACGCTAGATTAACTACTAATATGCTAATTCTACTAGTGTATGTAAAGTAGCTTATATAAAAGAGATAAACATTTCTTTTTTTACACTTTTAAGTGTATTTTTTAGATAGATTATCTCTTCTTTATCTTATATAATTTATATAAGTGTAAAAGGTTAAATTTAAACACTATAGTCTAAATAAAACTTATATTTAGTAGACTACTTACTATAAGACTATCTTATAGTAGGATAAAACTTATCTTAGGCACTTATAGTAACAATAAATTATATATTATATAAGGAAAAAAACTAAAGAAAGAACTAAAAAAAAAACTATAAAAAATTTAAACATACTATAAAAAAAATAAAGGCTTAGTTACTGCATCTACATAAATTTACTAAGCTAGATTAGAATTAATAAGCATTTTTTTACTAAAGTTAGTTTTAAGATTAACATCTTAAACTATGTTTTAATTACTTTAGTTAAATTAGATACTTTTATATTAAGTATATTATATAAAACCTTACCTACTAATTTTACGCTTTAATAGGTGACTTAAGCAGAGACAGTATAGGCTAAAGACTATTCTAGATATAGTATTATGCTTTTGCTTAAAGCTAAAGATAAACATCTAGATATAGTGTTATATAATTCTAAAAGTTAGAGTAAGCTGTAGCTACGCTGTTAAATTTAAGCAAATCTAGTACCCTATTGCACTACTAAAGCATATCTTGTAGAAGGTAGGCATTTATATTCTAACTATTAACCTTTCTTTTAATTATATAAAGCTAATTAGCATTAAATAAAAGAGCCTAGTTCTAGACATAAGCTTTAAAATAGTAATAAAGCATAAAAGGCTTTTTAACTATACTGTTTAGATAGTTTTTCTACCTTTAAATTAAATATGCGTTTTATAGTTATATAAAGCTATATAGTTTCTTATAAAGTATAAGAATATATATAGCATAAATAGTAAGCTAATTAGCTAAGCTATCTTTTAAAAAAAAGCCTTAGGTTTAAAAGTAGTAAAAGTAATTTTACTTAAAGTAAAATAAAGTAATAAGTATTATATAAAATACTAACTTACTAATAAAAAAAAAGCTTTTTAAAAGTTACTACTACTAAGCTTTAATCTACTAATTTAATGTACTTATGCTATAAAAGTAGCACTAATTAAATAAAAGCTTAGGCTTTATAAACTTTTAAAGCTAGTAATAAGCATTTACTAGCATAACTATCTCTATCTCTTAATTAGATTATATAAAATGTAGTTACTACTTTATTTTTTTAAGTGTCTTAAAAAACTAGCAAAGGCAGCTAATAGTAGTGTAGGCAGAGATTCTAACATAAATCTATACAATGTATTATAAGTACGCGTTAATACATGCATAGATCTTTACACTGTACAGTTTTAGCTTACTATAGCTATTAATAGACTAGATAAAGTTTAGGCTAGGAATAATATACTCCCTACAGTGTTGCTGCAGGTTGCGCTTGCAGCGCTCTACTACTTTATAGTTTATTATATAATAGATGCAAAATAACTAGTCTTATATAATAATATAGCTATGTTAATAAAAGTGTGTATAAAGATACCTTTACTTATACTTATTAATAATACCTTTTTTTAGCTTTTAACTAATAAGTTATTATATAAGCTTATTTACTTACTAGCTTTATTTAACACTTTACACTTTTCTATGTAATCTAAGCTTAAATTAAAGTTATATAAGCATATATTTTTTAATTTAAAAGCTTTTATTATGTAGTATATAAAGCATATCTAAATTTTTAAGCTTAACTTTAAAAAATAGTACTTAGATCTAATTCTTAACTCTATCTTTAACTTTAGTAAGAAGGTGTTACCTTACATTCTATGTTTAAAACTGCTGCTTAATTATATAAAAAGTAACACAGACTTAAAACTTTTTAAAAAAGTAAGTAGCTATCTACGCATATGTAACACCTTTATAGAAAAGCCTAAGTAGATAAAGTTAGTACAGTTTAAGGTTAATCTTAGGATGTCCTTCTACATTGCCACTATATTAGTAAGCACTTGTACAATGTAACTATTTAAAAAATGCTTACTAGGCATTATAAAATTAACATGTATAAACGTGTATAAAATAATTATAAAGTTATAAGTAGCTAAAGGCTATAATTATGTGCGGGGTAAAGAATTTTTAAATTGGCAATTAGTTTTTTCCCTTCACCAGCTAACAGTCCGCCGTAGCCGCCCCTGAAACGCACAGCGCAGACCATCCCGGAACCCCAAGATTGATCATCCCTCCACAAAGATTGCATCACGGTGGTCGGTATGCTAGTGAGCATCCTGCACGGAAATGTTCCTCATGATCGGTTTTGTCTCATTGTTTCAGTTATTAGAGTGCTAGATACGTTGCAAACACAGGCATATCGACGTCCTCGAACGGACATGTCGTCACCAGAGCAGACCGACTGACTGGAAATTAGCATCTGCAGAAACGAATCAAGTAGCATATAGCTGGAATGCAAGGAAAGTCGTCAGTTGTCCAGGTAGTCCCACATTATATAGGAAGTTCTGTGGTCTGGTCTCAGCACCTCCGTCCCCTAATCTAGTTTGATTGGATTTGACCGGGATCCCATTCACGCATTATCCTATACCCACGATGTCACCTTGTGGGCGCTTCTGATCTAGCTATCCCACCTTCCCCGCATGATATTGTCTTATCAATCCCACTACTCTAATTGTCCGGGTACCTGCATTTACCAGCAGAATATTATTTGGTGTCCGCCCACGTCCATTTCTTCTCCAGCTTCTCGTCTTTCATTGTTCTATGGACCTTTCACGATGGCCACAACTGGCACCATATTCCTTCTCTTTTCGACATTCTTTTCCACACTTGCATTTGCGCAAAATTCGACTAATACTACTCTCGATAATCTCCAATACGTTAACCCACTGATTGGGAGTGCTAATGGAGGTTTGCATACCAAATATGCTTGGTAGAACCGTTGTTAATTTTGCAGGAAACGTATTTGCCGGAGCAACTCTACCATATGGTAAGAAATTACCGCAAGAAATGATCACGACGTCCTCTGACTTGCTTCCTGTAGGCATGGCAAAAGCTGTCGCGGATGTGGACTCCGGGAGCAACCAAGGAGGATTTACAACCGAAAACGGAAATGTGACGGGTTTCAGCACTATGCACGATTCCGGAACAGGTCTGTACAGCAATATGATTTAGATAAAGCTCAAGTCTGGTGCTGATAAACATTAAGGAGGTAGCCCATCACTTGGTAATTTCGCATTCTTTCCCTACGCATCGTGCCCAGGCGATGACTTGAATCGATGCGTGTATCCGAAGAAGACCCGCAAAATTCCATACCAAGCAGATTCGGTGAAATCTACTCCCGGCTATTTTGCCTTGACTCTGTCCAGTGGAGTCGCGGCGGACATGACTACTGCTCAGCATACATCCTTGTTTCGTTTCAGATTCCCAGCTATTGGAAATAACACCCAAAGTCCTCTCCTGCTGCTAGACCTCACAGACCTAGCGGACTCCCGTCAAGACAATGCTACAATCTCTGTTGACGCGAAGACTGGCCGCATGACTGGCAGCGCCCGTTTCCTGCCAAGTTTTGGGTCTGGAAATTGGGTTGCATTTTTCTGCGCTGATTTCAAGGGGGCTGATATCCGCGACAACGGAATCTTCGTCAATAGTCGCGCAAGCTCAGACGTCAAAGATCTCAGGATTTCTCGATCCATCAATAATTACCCTCTCCCAGGAGGAGGCTTCATTCGTTTCACATCCAATCCCATAGAGGGTGTCCTCGCGCGCATTGCTGTTAGTCTCATCAGCAGTGAGCAAGCATGCAATAGCGCTGAATCCGAGATACCAGATTTCGATTTCGCCTCCACTCAGAAGGCAGCGGAAGATTCTTGGAGAGAGAAGCTCAAACCTATCAGTATCTCGACGACCGGGGTTAGCAAATCATTAATTACTAACTTTTATTCTGGCATCTATAGAACCATGGTCAATCCACAAAACTATACCGGCGAGAACCCCAAATGGTCGAGCACCGAGCCTTACTTCGACTCATTCTATTGCCTTTGGGACAGCTTCAGATCTCAGTTACCATTCCTCACGATTCTTGACCCCAATGGTATTACCCAAATGATTCGCTCATTGATCGATACGTACAAACACGAGGGGTGGTTACCTGACTGCCGCATGTCCTTGTGCAAAGGCTTCACGCAAGGTGGTTCGAATGCGGATGTTATACTTACGGACGGTTTCATCAAAGGCCTTACGGGCGGGGTTGACTGGGATAAAGGCTACGAAGCAGTTGTTAAAGACGCCGAGGTCGAGCCTTATGATTGGTCAAACGAAGGCCGCGGTGGCTTGGACAACTGGAAATCGCTAGGTTATATTCCCACTCAGGACTTCGATCACAAAGGCTTTGGAACAATGACTCGAAGTGTTTCTCGCACTCTCGAATACGCCTATAACGACTTCTGTATTGCGCAAATGGCGAAAGGTCTTGGGGGTAAGGAGAATGATGTCGAGAAATATGTGGGTCGAAGTAGCAACTGGCGCAACTTATACTTCAAGGATCAAAAGTCTTTCCTTTTAACTGGGGGAGCTGATACAGGGTTTACAGGTTTTTTTCAGGGGAAATTCATGAACGGGACATGGTTTACGCAGGATCCTTTGTGGTGTTCAAACATCGATCCGAACCCCAATCGCGTGTGTTCGCTTCAGAATACAGGTCAAGAAACGTTTGAATCTAGTCTGTGGGAGTATGGCTTGTGAGTTACCAGGCCCATATCGTCCTTGCCTCTACCACTGACTCTACATAGCTATGTACCCGGGGACCAAGCAGGTTTGATATCGCTATATGGTGGACCATCTGCCTTCGTCAAAAGATTGGATTATTTGCACGACTTCAACATAACCTACATCGGAAACGAGGTATGTGTTAACTTATATGAGCTCCACCTGGCTCTGACTTATTTTCTCAGCCTTCCTTCCTCACCGTGTTCCAATACCACTATGCCGGACGCCCAGCGTTATCCGCCCTCCGCAGCCACTTTTACATTCCTCGTTTCTTCGCCCCAACCCACGACGGTTTGCCAGGAAATGACGATAGTGGTGCTATGGGCTCATTCGTTGCAATGTCGATGATGGGGCTTTTCCCCAACCCCGGCCAAAATGTCTACCTCATCACTCCACCCTTCTTCGAATCTGTTTCCATCAAATCGCCTCTCACGGGTAAAACCGCCATTATCCGCAACGTAAACTATGATCCGACATACCAGACTATCTACATTCAGAGCGCCACGCTGAATGGCGAACCGTATACTAAGAATTGGATCGATCACTCTTTCTTTACGGAAGGCAAGGAGCTCGTGCTTACATTAGGAAGAAATGAGAGTTCTTGGGGGACAAAGGTTGAGGATTTGCCGCCCAGCCTGAGTGAGTATGTAGGGTTTAATGGGACTGTGAACGGGACGGTTGTGGCGAAGTTCCGGAGGTGGGAAGCGGGGAGAGCAAGGATCGGTAGTGTGAGAAAAGACGAGATGAGAGGATTTATGAGCGAGGACGTGGTATGATTATGAGGTAGGCATGAGTTAATGATGAACAGTATCATTTCTCTCACTTTATAAGCGCGCAAATCTCTCGACAAGTCGCTTGTAAACATCAAACAGGCCCTTGGGCATCATAACGAAGAATGAGCGTCCGTGAATCAGTTGTCACTCTCAAATGACCTCAAGTTCGAACCATATCCAATCTTCGGGTTCCCGAACTCTGCGATTCAACCAGTCCAAACTGCAGGACCTGGATTCTTATACGTAGCGATATTGTATATCTGAGTAGGTGCTGTTGCAGCCATTTCTCCGGGGAACATAATGCCTATGAATGCATAAGTTCTAACTCTTTTACTATCCAAAATACGAGATCGAAAGACATACCTGGGTCACGAGGATTGTAATCCTCGGGCAGCTTGATCGTTGGCCCTGGCTTACCTATGCACTTTTATTAGCTACCAGCGATTCCACCTCATCGAGCCTCAAGATCCATACCGCCTCCGGGCCCAACAACTTCAATATGCGCACATGAATGGTAGAACTGCGTTTTGTTGTATCCTGGATGGAGTCCAAACATCTGCTCACCTCGCAGAAGATACTTCCCGGGGGGTGTCGTTTTCGGAATCGTAAAATTCATCTACGACCACTATCAGCCTTATATATCCGAATCGAATGCTCCGGCAGATTGTGCGCATACAAAATGCGTATCAGAGTTAAGTTCCCAATTCTTCGCATCTCGGACGCCGTATTGCTTAATCTTGAACCAATTCCCATCGCCTTTGTATGTCGCAAGATCGTCATTCGGTGCGCGCGAGAGGTATCCGTGTCCGGGACCGGCATGGTAGATTGTCGTGTCAGACTACTCAACACAGTTATCAAGAGCCTGGAGGCAAAAAAAAAACCCACAAGAGATGCGTACATAGGCACAGTCCTTGCCAATCCCAAACCCAACAGTTTCCCCGGCTTTGATGACTAAGGTCTCGACGTCCGCCCAAGAGTTCTTCTCCAGGTAGTTGCAACGGATATTGGTGTTGGTTGTGTCGGCGATGTAGAAGGGGTAGCAGAGGGCGTCTTTGCGGAGCTTTCTGAGTGGTACGAAGGCGTGAGCGTGGAGTTGGAGTGCTTTAGTGACGAAGGCGCCGTGGTGCTGCCTACCTAAAGTACCGCCATTCAGCATTCAATGTCCCGTTTGTCAGGAGCGTCATGAAGGTGTCTATGTAGTCAACAGGTCAGAAGTGTGGAAAGTTAGGGATGCTGAAGTATGCTAGGGGAAATCGTACAGTGGGCATCCACTAGCCCTCCGAACGCCTGCAAGAGGAGAGTGATTAACAAAGAAGACCTCATTTTAGTCCTCACTTGGGCTCAAAGTTAGAGGAATATCAAGGTAAGCCGTATAGTGGACCAAATTTATAACTTTCCTCTCAACGAGAACCATAAATGTCACGTGTATAAGTGTCAAAGGATACCCGCCTAGCCCCCTAAAACAGATGAGTTCACCTGCTGATCATCTAAGTGGCATGGATGAACTATCTAAATGGAAGGAAGAGACAGAATAAGTGCAATTCGCATACTAGACTTATGTTTCTAGCAGCATAATGCTAGGTGGTTATATTGGAAAACGCCTTGCCGTTATTACAAAGTGGAGAACCATCCATATAATCGGAAATCAATGAAAATTGCTCGTTGCGGTGCACTTAAGGGTTGGGTAAACGGACCGGTTACCGATTGTGGAGCGGAACGTTGCGTTGTGGCGGTTGTATTGGAGGTCCTCGATCGATGCCTGTTTCTAATATTAAAGGAAGGTAGTTAATCACATGGCACGCTGAGATATGCTTTCGGATCTTCGATATCCCTATTATCACTAGGATTGGAGAAAGACGACTATGATGCCTTATGCCAAGCGTTTCGAATCAGAAAAGTAAAGGTGCTCATGTCTTTCCAGCTCATCCTGATGTCCAACAATGGTCATTGAGAGAACGAGGGGATAAAAGCGACAAAACCAAAGGCCGAAATTATGACGTAAGAATTGTTGCAAATGGAGAGGTGGTGTAAGCATGCAGCTATGTAAGAAGCTGATGAAGTGAAGTGTTTTGTGTCAAGCCTAAGTGCTCTGTTGCAGAATATTTATTTACATCTATGATGGCGGGGGCAGTGAGGGCCATGGCAATGGCTAAGGGGATATGGTGAAGGTATAGGAGCTATAGTAACAGCAGTAGGGGCTGTTGAGGCACAGGGAAGGAAGGTTTCTGTACCAGGAATGCGACAAGAATTAGCATTCACAACATAGGAATCTTGCTATGTTAGAGCAAGTTTGGTTCAGAGGTACGACATTGACCTCAGACTCTACTTCAACAACCTAACCTTTCGCTCTGAACCGCAAAGTAAACCACGGCCCTCACCATTACTTTCCAATCATTCAAGAAATTAGAACCAAGGTGAAACCACGAAGTCATGGCCACCATACCATGGTGGATTCGGGTCCTCATCTCGAGCCACCGGCTCGCACGTGACACCAATTTTCACTGAAGGGCCTGGCAATCGGCGCAAACGAGCAATGCACATACCACGCGCCCACCGAATATAAATCTCCTCACGCTACTTATTCAAAAATGCTGCGGCCACCGCCAAACATCAACGTACGATATTTAAGCAACGACAGCATGACGCCTACGACTCGATTTAGGTCCAAGCCCCACCGTCAAGTTGGCTACACTGATCAAGACAAGCGAAGTCGCATCCACAAGACACACATTTGTCAAACAAATCTCAACGCGGCGCTCGCTCTTCGCACTCATAACCCAGGACCATTTGCCACCGCCGCAGGAGTCAACAAACTCGCAGTCAAACTACAAAGCAAGCCAAAACTTGTGCCGAGGCCAAAGGCACGCGATTGCAAGATATGTGCCAGGAAAAAGCCGCCAGTCTCTTTCGGAAAATTAGGTGAAGCCGTCTGTGGTCACTTCATGGACATTTGCAGAGACTGCGTCGAGAAAATGGTTCGAACAAAGATGGTAGATGGCACCCTTGATGTGGCCGAATTGGCCTGTCCATACTCCGAGTGTACCTATGTGATGGGATTTGAAGAAGCAAAGAAGTTGGTTTCCCGAGCTCTTTTCGAGAAGTAAGTACCACACAGCTACCTTTAGAATTTGTGCGGTTCGCGCAGCAATCCCCGACCGTCCCTGTTCCCCTGCAGCTCTCATGATCGGGACGCCCGCAGCACGCTACAGGAACTTTCAAAAGCGAGGTACCAGGTAGTAGGAGTACTTAGAAAGACGTAACCCGACGCCGACTCTTCAGTAATTCTTCCACTGTTTGTGTATGCTAATTACCATCTCTAGGTAGGACAAAGCACTCTTGCAACATTTTCTCTGCTCTAGCAAGGATTTCCACACAAGTCCCAACCTGATTTGCGGCCAGAATTTCTCCATCGGAAACTGTGTTAGCCCGGACATCGAGCAGGGGCTAGACGAGGATGGCAGTGTCCCGAGCGATGAATTAAAGTATAATGTGTTCTTACGAAAGCCCATGGGAAACAGAGACGAGAAAGAAGAAGCATCATCCAATAGCCATATTGCTTGCCCATACTGCAAGTATGAGATGTGTATCAAGTGCGACCGACCAGGGCACCAAGGGAAGACCTGTAATAGCGTTAAGTGAGCCGAGGACCGCGCATCCGAGGACGCCATTAAGTCAATGGGAGTGAGGCTGTGTCCGAACTGTGGTGTTCGCATCGAGAAGTCTAGCGGTTGCAACCATATGCATTGTAAGTTAGCAGATTGGTAAGTAACGGACGTGGGAAAGGGTCTAATATGCCATTTCACAGGCAAAAAATGACAGTATCCCTTTTGTTAGGGGGCTTATGCTCGTATTAAACCAGTCCCGTTCACCACTTGCCAGGCTGCCCAGAACGAACTGGCAGGATCGTGGATCAACCCGGAAGCTACTATCAGGGTGACATGAACACACTCGTTCATGCTCTGCTATAGGTCATCCTAATTCATCTAAGACAGATTCAGATACGTGGTATTGTGTCACGATTTCTCATCCTGCCCCAACTGGCTCAGATTGTCTGCTCCTTCTTTGTTGTCAAATTTCAGGAGAAAGATGGTGAGATGGGCTTTTGTGGGGTATCTTGCTTTCTGAGAACATAGACAGCGGAATGGAAGTTGGTGGGATTTCTTGCTCTCCAAGGCCGTAGACGTTATGGGATTCCAGTGCAACTGGGCACCGGAGTTACATTTCAACAGGAAGCTTCAAAGGGTGTAATAGTTAGTTCCTCAAAAGTATTCCCAAACCAATAGGATCAATTCACGCATTGATGATGCTGCTCGAACTCTCTTGACACCCCTGCATGCATCTATCAAGACTTATCCACGCCTAGCCTGCTCACTACTGCTAGCTCGTACCTAAACTTCATTCTCTTCATTTCATAGATATCACGGAAGGAAATGCTTGTATTCTCATAGGAAAGTGACAAGCATCTGATGTATGCCATGAAAAATATGAAAACGACACCACCCTAATTGGACAACTCAATAGCCGTGAAATCACCATCAAAGTGAAAGAGGAAATTGCGCCCTATATCTGACCTAGGTAGCCTCGTGCGGGGATATAAAGATCGGGTCCAGATCAGGGCTTGTGTAAAGAATTGGAAGTGACGAGAATCTGCACTTTCCTCGCCCGAGCAATTCACCTGCTTCATCGAGTGAACATAGCCCTCTCCGCGCCACTTTCACTAAAGAAACTCACTCTCAACTAACGAAGAAAGTGAAATTCGCATAAGAATCTCGAATGTGCCAGATCTACCGCATACTTGGTAGAGAGATCGGGCGGTGTGGCAGTCGATGAACCGGCGGTCGAAGAGCGCCACCGATATCGAAATCGCTTCCTTTTGTATCGAGGAAAGTTTCCGTGGCAGACCGTGAATAAACGTCGCAAACGGGTGTTGCTGTTGACGTCAGGTTGTCGCCTGGTGGGTAGACTTATGAACCACGGAGCATTCACCTCCCTTTCCCTTCGCGTATGCGTCTTCCCAATTAGAAAATTGTTGACAGAAATATTTCGCTGCTGATTTTGAACAACAGAAGAAAACCATCTAGTCACCTCTTCGACAGGGAGGTTTGGAATGATCTGCATCGAGATTTTAAAGGGACAAATCCGGCAGCGAAACACGTGGCCAAGAGCCCCATCTCCTAAAGTGCAACAAAGTCAGTCTATTTGTGATCAATCAACCGGCTACTATCACCTCAAACAGCAATTCGAAAGCTTCATCTCCTCGGCGTAGATATAAAATCTCTGCCAATACAACCCAAACATCTCACATACACGAACAACAACTCTTCGCTTCTTTAATTGTTGTTAGCCCATGGATCCGCCAACTCCGGAGGCATCGGGGCTAGACGAAGATGAATTCTTGTATCCAGAGTCGTTGTCCAACCCCGTCTCTTCATTGGGTGGGATGGCAGTGAAGCTTGAGAGGGAACAATCGACCGACCCAGACTCGCAAGATCGGCTGCAAATCCCATCGCCAATACCAATCTTCCCAAAGCCTCTTGCCCTGTCTTACTGCAACTTCAAAAACCATTTTTCCGCGTACGGCTACATGGACGGGACGAGGATGGAAGCCGCAAGTTTTCTAGTTGCTCCACTATTGAGACATTATTTCCCAAAGACCAAGTTCGAGTACTGGAGGTTGGCGCGGCAAGATGAGAGCCTGTTTCAGTGTATTCCAGTGGACGGTACAACATACTGGATGGTGACCACGAAATCTCTAAAACAGGAAGGTGCTGGGGACGATAGTGACCCTTCGAGAGAAGCCATGATATTCCAGAGATCGCTAGTGTTGCTAGTAATCATTGTAACGAGCTATCCGTTCCTCGAGGCGCGAGAGAGAGGCAGGATAAATTCAATCAACTTCTCTGACAAGGCATTAGGCAATTCTGGCGAGGTCATGGTTGACGAGACGGTTGCACGACGTGGAAACGTTGTGGTCCTGGGAGGGAGAACGAGGCCTTCAGCTCCGAGCTTCGAGTTCTTCACGTTTGATGTTGATGGTGGACACGGACATTCCCTAGTCCCTTGTTTCGGCCAACCAGAACAACATCAGACTGGGTTCCGTACGAACAGGTTCAGTTTGGAAACTGAAGACGTAGATAAGGTCGACATAATGTTCAGAATGTTCGCAGAGAGCGGATCCGGCAGTTGTGTGTTCAATGCAAACACGCTTTCGAGGCTTGGGGTACGGTTACCACCTCTTCATCGAGTCCGCCAACGATCGGCGGAGTCGCAGGCTTTACATAAAGATCTGACGCCGGAAGGTTCCGATGACATGACAGATGAATATCTCCGAAGTCTTAAGATCAATAGGAATGGAAAGCTGCTAGGGGCTGGCGGGCGTTTCCTGACTAAGGAAAAGGACCTGAAAGCGAAACGACTTGCCAGCGCGAGGGGCATCAAGTTTGCGTTGCCTGAATTCAAGAGTGACATGGATCGAAGTCGAGAGCGACGCGACCGCGACCGGGCTAGGCGGAAGCGTTAGTCAACACGGACATAGAAGGCTCAGATAGATGTATCACGGAATCCGGGTTGTACATATACGGAAGGTGATAAGAGTGAAGTATTTGTACGAGCATGGTGTATCAAAACAGAAGGATAGCGGGTGGCTGTATGCTTTGTGGGAGGGATGTTTTCTACCGTGCGTATATTAGCAAAACTGAATACTGAGGTCTTCCATGCTCGCGCTTGCGATTCTAGACAAATAAATCTACCTGCAGAAGTTCTCCCATGACGATGTAAGCTCATTCACCACTGCGGGACAATGGCCAAAGACCATCGTAGAACCACGCGGCTTGACGAGCCATTCTGATTAGTAAGGGCGCCACTTGAGCGAATTCCTTGGTCTGTCGGTGGGCAAGCGGCCCTCCCTGCCTTGCATATATATATTCTTGTTTCGGTTTCGATTCGTAGACTAATATTGGTGGCCGGGTTCCGCTGAGCTTGTCCAGTGAGCTCGTCGTGGGGAAATCTGTGTCGATGACCGAGCATTTGGCTCCTTAGGAGGCTCTGGCTTGACTTGGTGGGTTCATCGGTGGGAGGGAGCTGGAAGTCGGGCGCTGGCTTTGAGTTGAAACGAAGCGATCTCCAAGGTGGACGAGACCGAATACTGCCAAGCCCTCCCGCAATGGATGCGCCACTCCAGCCACCACACAGCCTGCAGCGATGTGCAAACATAGGATTCCGTCATCTTTTGACCCTTAGGGAGACTCCAACTGATTTTTATTATATACAAACTCGCCCTCAACGCGAGAGGCGACACTGACAGGGCTTCCGGAGCTCCCTGTGAAAAATTGCTGACCTTCGCGGAGAGCACAGTCAGCACAGTTCGTTCATATTTAATGTTAGTTGGCAACATATATTCACATATCTTTTTCAAATTTGGAGGTTAAACAACATTCACGGTCTGATTGGGTGGGGAGCCGGTGGAGCACAACACCCGAAGAAACCCACAATTTCATGCCCAGTAAGCGGTCTCTACCAAGGTATATACGTATTCTAAGCCTTCGAAAAGGTATTCTCTTTTTAGCCCTGGCATAAAGCATTTGAGTAAAGCCCTTCTAATGGATTTTAGGCCTCTATGTTCTCGTCGCCTTCATAGTCCATCTTATTGTGTCCACAATGGCAGAGTCAGCACACATTGCGCGAATCAAGAAGAACGCAAAGCGCGACAATATTGATCTCACAGTTCTGCCTTTCCTGGCCTCCGCGCTTGCAGACATCCAAAAGATATTTACTCAAACGATTTCCGGAGTTCCAACCTTCTCCAATGCAACTCGGATCGATACCCATGTGCATCCTGTGCCTTCCTGGTTCCACGACCTTCAGCCTTTGGCGGGAGGTCGAGAAACACCATCCTGGGACATTCTCTCTCACTTCAACTTTATGCTCTCCCATTCCATCACTCGTTCCATTCTCTGTATCTCGACACCACAGGCCAATGCTTTCCCAGGAGACAAACCCAAAACGCGAGCTCTCGCCCGAATCCTGAATGAGTTCACTTCGGCATTAGTAACGGTGTATCCGGATCGATTCAGCTTTCTCGCCGTGACAGCATTGCCTTATGTCGAAGAAAGCATTGCGGAGGTAAGATACGCATTAAATGAATTAGGTGCTGTCGGCGTAGGTGTTTTGACAAACCATGAAGCCCTCTATCCTGGAGACAAGATGTTCAGACCGCTTTGGGAGTATTTACAAAATCGATCAAGTGAGAGGGAAATTATATTCATCCACCCTACGGATCCACTGATGAAGGTTGACGGGAGACTGGTCGATTCAAAACCATGTGGGTCGCTTCACTAGCTTTTGTATTTTAAAAATTTAGAAGTACTGTGGTAACTAATGGGCAGAAGCACCTTTGAGATCTGGTCTTGGGGAATTCTACTTTGAGACTGCGCGAGCGATTTCGTCGATCACGGCTTCAAGGACCATTATCGAGTTCCCGAAACTTCACTGGCGGATATCACATGGGGCTGGTGCATTTCCGGATATTGAAGATCGCTTTTTATTAGGCGTCCCAATGGATGCGGAAGAGGCGTGGAAAATTTACGCAACGCGGTAATTGGACCTTTGAAGTAGAGAACTAAGCCACCCACTGACGATCGTATATTTTGGTACGATAGTGCTGGACCTGTTTATCCTCGTCAGATAAAAGGGCTTCTCGCTCATGATGTGCCCGTATCCCAGTTTGTATTCGGGACAGTGAGTTTTGCCTTCCGGAATCCGCCCTACTATGATGTTTACTCTGCTAATTGAGCGTAGGATTATCCGTATGGCATAGGGTTTTGGGATGTGGATGCCAACATTGCAGGCCTTGCCGATGCTGACTTTCTCTCCCCAGAGGAAAAAGATGGTATATTTCATGGAAATGCCCGGGAACTCTGGAAAGGAAAGATTGGTGGCGTATGAGTTATCTGCCACTGTGAGATATAAGGTTGCAACATATTTGCTAGGCCAGTGGGAAACGCCTTATGAGATATCGGGTTAGGTACAATCTCGTTTAAGTTCACTAGATTCTTTATTAGCAAAAGCTTGATGGTGAGTCCTTGGAAGCCCTCTTAGACGACTCTCCTGCCAGCCAATTTGTTGGCAAATTTGGGCTTCTCTTGGAGGGCCCAATCTTGGTTGTAATAAGTTAAGACGAAGGGTATGCCTGCAATGAAAGTGTCTCCAGCTCTAATTGTGCTTAAGCGCGTTAGTGATGGTCGATGAGAGACCATTCTTCAGAACATACTCGACCACTGAAAGATAGGCTTCTCTTGGCGTCCAAACATCGACAACTCTCCCAGCTCCCTGGATAAATCGAAGATTATTAAACGACAGTTACATCCTGGGAACCCCAGGTGCAACATAACAGAGTGCTAGTTGAGCAAGTTAGCATTTAGTGGCTGCAGTCCCCCTAGCTGGCTTCTCACTTATTCTTAGTCACTAGAAACTGTGCCTCAGTGCATTCTTTGGCCGACTTGAAACCTTTGTCCTACATCAAATAATTAGCGAGAAAACCCGGACTCACTCGGTCTAGGCGAGCCTACCTATGCCCATGATCTGAAATAGAACACCAAGTATTCTTCTGCTACAAAATCCGCCAATCCCTCTCAGTGAGGCTTTTCAACCTCGACACTAATCTTGAAGTGTGGAGGCCGTGATTGAAGACTGAAAATACATTGGAGTGTTACATCGGGAATACGACCTGCTCATGTTAGCTCATCAAGTGAACAAGCGCCATCACCTCTACCTCGAAATGGTACCAACCAGACATGGTGTTTCAACCTCGGTCAACCCACGTGACTTTTGAGCGAATTCCTCAGTCATGTCTGTGAGGCCATTGTAATTCACAATTATTCGGCTTCTGCTGGAATGGCTATTAATAACGTAGCTAGAGGCTGTCTCTTGGCTACCGTATCGGATAATGCACTAAGGATACAAGATAGTATTCGAGAGTGAGTTGCGAACGAATCAAATATTACACTATCTCTACCGCCAAGCCCTCTCTCCTATTGGTCTGGATATAAGCCAGCTATTGATTTAATTAGTAGAAAATTAGTAACTAAAAAGCTGCGTTACTGTTTGTTTTTAAGCTTTAAGTAATTGTTCTGCTATGCTACATGCTTAATCTAGTCTTCTTTTTTTCCTATTATAATTAACTACTGCACAGTTAGGGGTGTAAAAATTACTTCTATAGTGTAATTTTTCCTGCTAAATGTAATTAGCTCTGCTAAGACCTTCTAAGCAAAGCCTACTGCAAGTAAAAAGGGGGTTCTAGAGGATCTCCCCCTAGTTAAGCAAAATAGTAGTGCAACTTTAGGCTTTAGCTTTACATCTACTCTAACCTATTTTAATCTTTCCTAACTAGACATTATCTGCTTTAATACTTTTACAGCCTTAGTTAACTTTACTTTATAATAATAATAAGTTATAGTAAGCTACTATATTATAGCTATCTATAATGTATATAAGTGTATTAAGTTATCCTATGTTATCTACTAACCTTTATAAAGGATTATAAAGGCCTTAAAATTACACCTAACATAATATTAGCCTAATGTAAAACACTTTTAACTATTTCTTTTTTTCTTTAAGCTATAAAGCTATACTAATTATATTAAAATTAAAAGCATATTTGCATACTATAAACTATTACATAGGGGGTAAGAGCTTAGAGGTGTTCTATTACTTAGAATAATAAGTTTAGATAGCTTAAATTCTTTTTTATATAAAATTTTTTCTTAAAAGTTTTTAGCCTAATTAAGTTTTTTTCTAAACTTAATAAGAATGCTATTTTAAAAAAAGTTATACTTTTAGAGACTTTAAAAAAATAAATTTATTTAGTATAGTATAAGCCTTACTACGCCTTATTTTAATAAGTAGAATCTTAATTTACTTAAAGTTAATCTATCCCTAATCTGCTTTAACTTTTTTTAATTAGTACCTTTCTCTCTTAACCTATCCTTTTTTTCTTATTATATAGTGTTATCCCTTTATATTATTACTATATAGACTTATTACCTACTTTCTGCCTAGTCTATAATAACTACAGACCTTTTTCTAACTTCTCTACTAATAAAGTTAGAGCTCTCTATTACTAGTGTAATAGACATAGCTGTGTAGTATGTTACTTTATTATAATTATTATATTCTTTAGCGCTTATATCTAGTTTTATTTAGGCGTGTTAGCTATTAGCTAATGTTAACTCTAATATATAACTCTTAAAACGCGTTTAAGCTTGCGCTACTACAGTCTAATTAGGTCTATGCTAGGGCTAACCTGCACATGCTAGGTGTGACACTGCATTAAGCAGAACGCTAGTGCTTAATTAATTATTTTATATATATTAAGACTTTTTTAAGACTTTTACGCCTTTTTTTACTTCTTCTACACTATCTGTCTAGATTTATTATAATATATAATTAACTCTTTTTAAGTCCTTTACGCTAACTTCTACTCCTCCTACACTGTTTATATATATATATTATTATAATATATAGCTAACTTTATAAAGACCTGTCTAATTTCTACTTTTTTAATATACTTTAAATTAGCCTGCTCTATCTCTATTTATATGTAGAGATTAAAAGTAACTAAGGGCTAGTTTTTTATAAGATAATTTACTAAAGGTATATATTATTACTACTATAAACTATATTACTTTTATTAACTTTAGTCTAATGCAGAATTCTATAAGTAGCTGTTTTAACTATAGTGCCTTTTACTAGCCTAAGAAGTAGGTTAATAAGAGTTAGGCAGATTCTTCTTAGTACTTTATATGTTGCCTAATAAGTAATATTAACCTTTTAACCTTTTTAAATCTACCTTTATTCCTGTGTTATCTTTTATAGAGTAGGCACCTACTTAGCAAATCCTTTTAAAAGCATCTTTAATTATATAATACAGCCTTAGCTTTTATGTTAGCTAACTATAAATAAATAAATTAAAGTGTGTGTAGCATAAGCGTAAAGGTTTTTTAGATTATAAAAAAGATGTACTATATGTATAGCCTATTAGAGCCTACTAAGGGGGACGTTCTCTCTTACGCACAGCTATACTTTTATAATCCTGCCTAGGCTAACAGTGCGCGTATAGGGCATTAGGCTAATAGTAGTCTTAATCTAACTATACTTACGCAGCTACTATAGATAGTTAAGACAAATTACAATAATTCTTAAATTAAAATATACAAAACTATATATAAGTAGTTATAGTAAGCTTATAAGTAAGATAAAAAATTATAAATTACTTTTAATCTATAACTATAGTTAATTATATAGGCTAGGGCTAATTAACATTAAAAGAACCTGCCTGTTGCTAAGAAAATTACTACTCTAGTCTATAATAAGCTAGTTAAGAATTATAACTAAAATTTTATTTTTTACTACTAACTTAGCCCTAATCTAAGACACTGTTAGTCTCTATACTAAAAGATTAAACATACACATGCAGCATATTAGCCTCTCTACTATGTTTTAATGTTTTTATAAAGTACTCTTAGGTTTTACTATAGTTTACAGCTGCGTACTTTACACATGTCTTACACCTAGAATACTCTAACTAATTCTAAGTATTACTAATTTTACCTATTTCCCTAGCATAGCAGTCTTATTATGCTTTTTAATTATAGTCTATTATTCTAGCAATTTATTGTTAACTGCTAAGCTTAGTGTAAACAGAGAAAGTTATAGTAGATTATAGTAAATTAAAAATAGTTACATGCTAATCTATATTAAAAAGTGTGTAATACATTAAATTAGAATAACTTTTAAGCTAATTTAGTTAAAATTTAGACTATTTTTCTTTTAAGTTACATTAGCAGTAGTTACTTTATTATATAGTGTTATTAGAACTTTATAGCTATTATTTAAAAGCTTAGTTAACTTACTTTATTTATTACTTTTACTGCTAATTCTAAATAGCTAGAGTTAGAGCAGGAGATTAGTACGTCCTTTTAGCTATTAGATTAGCTAGATCTAGTCACACGCGTTTTTAAGCTGCGTCTTAACTCCCTTCTTACAGACCTCTAGACTAACTATGTATTTAGCTAGTATACTAGTATTATGTATACTATTAAGTACTAGAAGTAGGGTTTACTTTATACTTATATTTTACTTTTTTTATATTATAATTACTATAATTAGTTCCTTAATCTAAACTTTATTAATTAAGTTATATAAGCTAAGCTTTTTATAAAAGCTTAAGATTTAAATAAAGTCTTAAGTAACATTATTAAAACTACTATAGTTTATAGGCTATATAGAACCTTAAATCCTAGCATGCTCTATATGCAGACTACAGAGCGTTCTCTCTAAGCAACCTGTTAGAAGCAATTTCTAAAGGAATACACTAATAAGACTTTAGTTAGTAGAAACAGTTATCTTATATATTAGTGTTAACTTAGTTTAACTTAGGTTGTAAAGTGTTATAGTTAAAACATTATAGTTAATAATTACTAAGTAGTGCCTTATAGTTTATACCTTTTATATAAGTACAACACACATGTTAACGTAGAGGTCTGTGCCTTTATAAAGTTAGTTAAATATATATATAAGTATATCTATAAAGGCACTAATTAGGTTGTTATCTGTATCTAGCAAAAGAACAAAGTTGCCTAGTATCTAAACATACACTATATTAGACTAACTAAGGCTGTTTAGCAATTAATAAAGTTTAAAGTTTATAAAGAGAAGCCTTCTATTATTTAATTAGCAGTGCATTTACTAGAACAGCATATAGTCACCTTTTATAACAAGGATAGTGCTAAACAGGTAGAGATTGTAGTTAAACAGAAAAGATTATTATTAATAAAATAGTTAAAGTATAATGCTTTTTATATAAATAAGTGTAATTTTCTTTACTAAGACTTTCTAACCTAGTATTATTAGAATCTAAAGAAAGATAGTAGTAAATAGACTTAGTT